CGGGGTTGCAGGGTGTCAGGGTGGCAGGGTGGCGTAGTGGCGGAGTGGCACGATTGCAGGGTTGTTTACCACTTTTAGACTTTGTAAGATTCATTGCTACGTTGCTTGGATTTCGTAATTTATATGTGTGCGATGTGCTCTGGCGTTGATTTACACTAAGGTGCAACATACACGTCTTGAGAGTCGTGCAAAATTCACATTTAACATTCACAAATCAGCATCGCAGCAAATTTAAGTTGAGTTGAAATTCTGCTATTCGATATTCAAGGCAATTACACCGTTTAAATTGCAGCAAAACTACAAAATTGATTTTATACGCTTCAGACTTAAGTCACAGTTACCAGTTACAGTTAAGGGTAAAACTTGTGGTGTGTTTTTACTTAAAGATATCAGATTATCTCGGTTTTTGTTGAGTTTCATTAAAATTTTTAAATCAATGTAGTGAAACAATGATTAGGAGTTTGTACTGGAGTTTAATATATTTTAAAGATAAACTCATTCTATAAGATTTCCAAGTACATAGAGAATTTTTGCATTAATATAAGATGTACAAGAAAGCAATATATATATAAGAAAGACTGATTTTATTGAAAATTATACAGAAATTTCGAACAGTAGTGAATTGTAACAACAAAATTTTTATTATATTTAATTAATTGAATTTTTGACAAACTCATCTTTCGTGTATTGCGAATTTAACCATCGATATATGCAGACTCTTATATGAAGACCGCTGATGATAAAAAGTCAATCAAAAATTCTATTAATTAAAATAATAAAAATTTTGTTGTTACAATTCATTACTGTTCGAAAGTAATCTATTAAATATAATAGTCACTACCGGCATAACTGATATTAAAATAAAATTTAATTAAAATCTATGTATGAAATGAGTAAGAGGATCTTATTTCCTCAACTTACATATTATCGCTTATATAAAAGATAATGCTTTATGAGTACACCTTTTTTATGTTGTAAAAACAGAGTTGGTGTGCACTACATTGATATAATTCAATTAACATTCAGCAACATTACTAACTTGGATATGTCGTGAGTATGAACGTGTACCAGCGAGTACCAGCGAAAAAAGTCATTTGAAGAGGTAGTTGAAAGAAGAAAGCCCTTAATACCCTTAGTAGATCGTGTCTCCCATGGAGTGATCAAGTTGAAGGTGCACTAACCATACTTGACCTACAACACTGGAAGAAACGCGAACGTAGCAGAGGTGTCTTAAGAGATATGCAGCATCAGGCCGAAACCCGGGTTGTTATGATCAAATAACGAAGGAAGTACACTAGTGCTTTACAGTTACAAATAAGGATACTTCACCGAATTTGTGAAAACGAAAGTAATTTTATTAAGTAAGTTTATTAATCGATATTGATTATTAATGCATTATCATTATAGATTTTTGTACGAAAATAAATATTTTCATATTATACTAGATATATATTTTTGATATATAATCAAGATAAGATATATTTGATGAAAAATTTCATCAACCTTATAGTTGAACCAAGAAACAGAGCTAAAAACAGAGGTCCACATAAAATACTTGATGCTGATGCATCAACAAGAACACCACAGAGTCTTTTAGGGAATTAAAATGAATTGCTAGAATCGTGATCTGTGGCAGTCTTTTGTAGATAGACTAAGTTCTTAGTTACTTCATTTGTTTGTTTGTAATGTTTGAGCGTATTAATATTAATAATAATCATGACAATAATATTGACAATATTGATAACAATAATAATAATAACAATAATAATAATAACAATAATAATAATAACAATAATAATAATAACAATAATAATAATAACAATAATAATAACATCACTTCCAACCGCTATTCAAAAATGAAAATCTCAATACTATGAACAGGAAGTCCATATATAACCAAATAATTCGACCATCACTTCTATATGGATGTGTTCAGCTTGGCCTCAAACACTGCTATTCGCCAGCTAGTAATTGCACAAAGCCAGGCTCTGAGAAGACTTTTCAAGGTACCATGGTACGCTAGGATGAACGAGATCCTCTGGAACCTCGAGATGTATTCGATCAAAAAATACATAAGGGATAGAGCTTTAAAATTATAAACAAAAACTGACATGCTTACGAACACCGCGTTGTGGAATCTCTGAATAGTTACAGGCCTTCTCGGGTACGTATACAGATCTGACGTCAATCATTGCTTAGTCTGATAAAGTGATAAACAATAATCGAGTCAAGGCGTAGAGAGGGGTTATAAAGAAACCTCGCTAGGCTCAGCATACCATAATATATATATGAATATAATTTTAAATACTCTATAAACAATAAAAACTGCCATCAAATGAGAAAATGTTCTGAATATGTTTGTAGTCAAATATGTGAAACTTTCCAATAGAAATCCCAGCTGATATTACTTATGGTTTGCCAAAGGATTGTAATATAAATCGTGACACTCGTAGACTATGTTGACAAGGAAAAAGTAGTAGAAGAAAGTGCTAAAAGATGGTGTTGTTTGTACTTCTCGATTAAAATCGTATACGTTTCCTTAATACTTTACAATATGCTACCATATATTTTACTACGACTGCATTTTGCAATTTCAACTAAACTTTATTATTGTGCAGTTGCTTTCTGGAATTGTTATGACTTCGCCAGATATGGCTACAAAATTGGGTAAAAATTTGCATATGGCTTACAATGTTTGCTAAATATACATATACATATATATATTAAAAAAATAAATAAAACAAACCATAATCGGGAAAGCGATAAGGAAGCTACAGAATTTGCCTTCCAAATTGAGTATTAATATTTTTATGTTACGAGATTTTATGAGTGAAGCAAACTTTCGACAAAGCTAAAAATATATCCCAAGTGAAATATCTTCAACGATATCCAGTCTTGCATACAAGCATATGCCTTATGCATATGCTTATATATACATATATCCTTCTTATTTTGCATGTGCCATAAACAATATTCACTGTTTTTATAACGCAGGCCACGTTGCCAGGCAGTCACTTTGGACTTGTCCTCTTAATTGAAACCACATGAAGAAAGTAGCTTCGAGGTAAATACGAAAGCCAAATTTTGTTTATTATTTTTTTTTTTAATCAGATATTGTTATATATATAGCTTGCCTAAAAAAGTTCCATCAGAAAAAAAAAACAGACGAAAAATTTTCGTAAACATCAGAACAATGAAAAGCGACAATACCGAAACCAAGCTAAGCCAAACCAAACCAAAACAACCGCTTACTTCACTTCTCATATTCGATGAATAAAATTCGTTATAGGAAATTGCAAACAAAATTGCAACTTCCTGTCAACAGCCAAACTTTGGAACGCAACAATGGCACCGTTTGGATATTCCCTAAGCATACAATTCTGCGCGCACTAAACAAAAGCCCGAATATAAATATTAAAAGTGTATAAAAATATATATATATATATATATATATACATATATAAATATGTATATATATAGCATATATAGTTGTGTCATGGAAGCGGTATAATAAGAGTTGAAAAAGAGACAAGAAATTACCATTGTAACCACCACTAGAGGCCAAATATTGGCTACCGAAATTTTCGAAGGACGAAAGGACGAAATATTGAAAAATAAAAACGCTAGTGAAAAAAAAATAAAAAAAAATCTGTAAAAAAATCCAATGCATTCCAACCAGAAATCCAAAAATGCCAAAACTATAAACGTGAAAAAGTACAATTTTTCCAACTGCTGCCAACACTGCAACAGCTTCCGGCTGGTAGTTGTCGCCTCCGACATGTTTCGCACGAGCTCAACGGTTTCCGTTCAAAAAATGAACTACATCGGAGTTGCCTTCATTTTACACTGTTGTCTGAGTAATTTTCTTTTTTTTTTTTTAGAATTTTCTGTAGAATTTTCACAATAAAAAGTCAAGAAAAATCAAATACTAAAATATATAAAACTTTTCCGTTCAAACAGTTTAAAATAGTTTGGCTTGCGATTTCGAAATGTGTTAATACATTTTTTTTTGTTTTTATTTAAAGTTATTTTTTAAAGTCATTTCCATACATTATCTTTTGTTTGCATTATCACAAATCGAATTGGTCTTTCATTAAAACCACAGTTCCCATGAAGCAGCACATAACACTATAAGGTACTCATAAGATACTCACAAGTTGCATTCAAAAGAGAAGCATCAAGTTCGCTTAGTTCCAAGGATCGAGAACACGATCCAATGTTCCAATGTCTAAGTCGAGAAGAGATGATGGCCAAGATTGACAACCAAATGCTTAACCACTGCCATTGGATTTTCATAATTCGCTAAAGATACACAATATCCACAATTTCCAAGGAATCCATAAAAATCTTCTCATATCAAAAACAACTGATATAAAATATACATACTTATAATTTTGTGATAACACTTAATGACGTCAGCATCTGCAAGAAGAGTCAAGCTGCATTTTAAACTCTCGTTTAGCCCTCGAGTTATTTAAAGATGATCAGTGAGTGTAAGTTGAAGCAAAAAGATGTTGCAAAATATAATAAACCACATTGTTTGAGTTTTTGGTCGATCCAATGGGACGAATGATAAGTGTATCCCTTTGGAATATGTTGGTAGTGTATTTAGTGCATTTCGTGTCGTCTGCGTAGAGCGTCATTGACACGGGGCTTAAGGTGGGGATGTCTGCCGTATAAAAATTAAGCAATGTGGGTGACAGTGGCGACCCTTGAAGTACACCTGCTTCTATTAATCGTGCGGACGAAAGAGTGCTGCTGATTTTAGTTCAGAAGGACCTTTCTTGCAGGAAGCTACCGATGATTTTAATCAGCCCACTGGGAACCCCAAAATGGGCTTTTCTAACTACAGATTATATTATTTCCAAAATGTATTTGCAATATATTGGATCATTAGCTCTTATTTATTAGCTTTAGTTATAATGATTACATTGACATTACATTAAAATTATAAACTCAGTACAATATAATAAAACATTTTCTTCCCTTATCAAAATATACATTAAAAATTTTATAACTAAATATGTTACGGTTTTGATATGATTTTCTTTCTTCTTTTCGCGGATCCGTTTTTCGTGGATGGATTGGAATATTTTCAAGATCTTGAAGAGAATTTTTTTGCTGCAATCATGGTTTAATTAACACATTAAATTCTTTTTAATCTTATACTTACAATTTAATAAATTTTGCTTTAAAATAGATTATCATTTGTTTTCGATAAATTAATTTTTGAATGGTTCCTACCCTCTTTATTCGTACGACATTTTTGTTATTCTGGGCTGTAATCAATTATACCTTATTTGACAGAAATTTAATATATTTACATGTACTTACACTTATAAATTTTAATTTCATCAAACTATATTTAAATTATAGACTCAGCATTATGGACTTGATTTTAGTTAGAATGGATCGATTTTCATATATCTAAGATAACTAGTATTTTTCCAGAGGATTACAACATAACACAAGCGTTGGTTAAAAACATAACATTTAGTGAGTTTTCTATAATTTTAAATAATTTCTTTACCAAAATAATAATAAATTAAGATGATATTTTCAAGACATACCTTATGTGTGTATATGTGTATATATATATGTGTATATGCGTCTAAATATTATATATATTATATGTGGCTGAGACTGGCAAATAGCAAAGACTGGATACATGAGTTGTTATAAGCCACAAATACTGTTTAATGCTGGTACCCCGAAAATTCAAAAAGTATTAATATTTGTATTAATGTAATAAAATTAGGATTATACTTTATCTGATCCAGTCTGTTTTAGGGTTTATTTTCTTCTCCTGCGTTTTTTTACTGCGGAACGCTTCTTCCGTTTAAAAATCATTTCCATACATTTTGTGAGATCTTTCATATCTCTCTTCACCTTGCAGCATTTCTCACAAATCCTGACCATAGACATAGGAATATCGTATACGCTCATTGCATCGCAAAACTTCTTTTCTGCACCAGACATGCCACGCCAAGCTTCTGCCGCCGCCTTCGCTATTTCAAAATCTGTAAACTTGGAATTTCGAAGTCTAACAGCTTTCACAAATTTCAAAAAACGGAATGACATTTTGTTGAATAGATCAAGACAACTTTTATGGACCTAAAATTCTGTCGTTTACTGTAGGAAGAAAAATTTTTAACTAAAAAATTTTGAAATTTTTGCTAGTTAATTTTTTTTTATGCCAAGCAAACTAAGTTTTATTTTAAATTTAATACTTTTTATGTTTTTAAAACTTGATTTATATGATGTCGTTGGAGCAGAAACAAAAAATAAGGACTTAAAATAAAATACTTAAGGACTTGAAATAAAATATTTACCTCCAAACTGAAAGATAAGACAAGTTTTAATTTCAGTTAATCACTTTCGATTTTTTATTATTGAAGTACGCTAACTTTCAGAAATAATACCAGGAATCTTCATCAAAAATTATTTTTTTTTATTAATATTTAATATATAATTATAAAAAGTTATAGTATAAAAGGAAACACTAATACCATGTTTACACCGCTTACTTAATAACTTACTTAAGTAACTTTAGGATTTTGCCATTTCCATTGACATAAATTACTTATTGCATGTGAAAAAGCTTTTATATGTCAAAAAGTTCTTTAAAAGTTCTAAGAGAAAGCTCAAACAATATATTTAATATATACTTGATAAATCAAATCATTTATATACATATTGTTATTATATAAATTTATCACATATTCAATTAATAAAAACAAAGATTTTATTTAATATTTACTTTCTCAGTACGCTTGTTTACAGCTCAGCTGTTGTTTGTTTACATTTTATATATAAAACATATGGCAAATATTTTAAATTTTGGTAATTTCCCTTCTGGGAAATTTATTTTTAAGTGTTGTATTCGACATTTTTGGTCCAATTTTCTTTAGTTTATTTGAAAGTAACTTAAATAGCACAGAAGCTCTATATATGGGTAACGATATTTACTTAGTAAGTTAAACTTGCTAAGTAAGCAGTGAAAACATACTATTATAAATAATTGATATTGAATTTTGTATTAAAAATTTTATTTTATTCACAGTATTTGGATCAGCAAGAGATCAGCTGATGTTTTAGTATTCACATGGCGTGATACTCGTAATATGTTATTGAATACAAAACTTTTATTGTTATATTCTTTTTATATTTACGCCTCAAGATTTAATATAATTTCATATATATTTTTCTATTTATGTGTATTATTTTGATAGTGTGAGCTGCATGACTTCTATATAGGTGTGTAGCATTAAGCAAGGTCTTAAACATTACTATTCGCCACCAAAAAATTGCACAAAGCCAAGCTCTGAGATGACTTTTGTAGGTGCCACGGTACATTAGGATGAACTATCTAAAAACACATAAAGTATAGAAGCCTGAAACTATTTACGAAAACTGAGAGGCCTACCAACACCGCGTTATCAAATCTCAGAACGGTTAAAGGCTCCACGGGAAGGTATGCAGATCTGAGGTTAATTATTGCTTAATCTAATGAAGTGATAAACAATAATTCAGTCAAGGCGTAGAGAGGGGTTATGAAGAAACCTTAATAGAGAGTAAAAGTGCTCAAGTGTATTGACTCAACTAGCTTCAATATAATAATATTAAATAGAAAAAATAATTTTTTTTGAAAACTATGAATAAATTGTGTATAAGTTTTTTATTTAAAGTTTTCTCGCTGAATAAAGTTCGGAAAAATATTACTTTAATATGAATTTTTCCAAAAAATCAATCTATAATTCGAAATTAAAGGCAAAAAAATAGCGTAAAGGAATTAAATTCATTTCGAATTCGAATAAAGAAACAAACAACAGCTGAGCATAAAGCAAATCAACAGTACAGAGCACAGGATCCAATTAGGTGTTGAATGTGTACAAGGATACTACGTAGCGTCAAAATTTCAAGGTTATTGTTCATTGCCTAGCAGGGTCTTACGCATCCTGACACTTGCCGCTTACTAGCCTCGATTTGTGCTTTTTATTTTAATTTTTACTCATTGTCAGCTTTATTATCCTAGCGTTTTTGTTTCATTTATTCGTTTCATTCGTTTTCTTCTTTTTGGCATTATTTATTTATTTTTTTAAGCTAATAAGAAAGTTTAGAAAGTATTTTTTCATTATTTCATTTATTTTTCAATAAATACGCATATATGAGAGCAAATGTAAAGGACAAAACAACAACAACAACAACATCAACAACAACAATTTTGGTGCGTAAGTTAATTTTGTGGCGTTTGAAGGCATTCGCTACCAAAGCAACCAAATGGCACATTTTGCTGAGATATTGTGTATGCCGTTTATAACATTTTTTGCAGTGTACTTCGATATCAATAATTTGCATAATTTCGTACGCTTTTTAATGTGTAAAATTGTGTATAATTTACTTACTTTCTATACTTCGGTGTGATGTGTGTGTTTGCTTATTTTGTTTCAATTTTTGAAGCAGAAAAAATATTAACAAGATTACCAAAATGGAAACAAAACAAAAAAATTCAGATAAGTTTTCACCTGCAGTTTTAAACACGGCTTTTATGTTTTGTTTATTATTTGTTTAGCTTTCCGGAATTTAGCAAATAAATACGATTTTGGTTTTTATTCTCTCCATGCAAATTTGTTTACAAATTCTGGCATACTTTTAGGCTTATGCGAAGAAAATGTTTTAATATTATGAATATTTTTTTCAATTTATTTGTGTAAGAAATGAACAAGAGGAAGAGGGAATGATTTAAAAATTGTAATATTAGTTTGTTGTTAGTTTATTAATAGTGTATGAGAATAGAAAATATACTCCGAATTGACTTACAAAATATTTCCATTCATAAAGAGATATTATATTAGAGATATTATTATAATATAAAATTTTATCTACAAGTTGTAAATTCTACTTTGATCATTTCCTCTAAACTGGTACGGAATAATCGAATTGCCTTACTGCTTTCCTGAAGATTACCCTGTTTAGTTCAACTTACGTGTCGTAAGATCTGGTAAATAAGCCCTGGCTACTTATACAAAGGTCTCTTTAAAAAAAATTTATAAATATTTTTTATATTTCCTTGTAATATGTATACATATAAAATAATTTTTAAATATCGCACATAAGGTTCTATCAAACGTACCTTTTGAAAAAAAGCTTGAGGTCAATCATCAACCAACTGATTGTGCGTTATCAATATGACTTCAAACCTGACAAATCAACCCTAGACCAGATATTCACAGTGCGTCAAATCAAATTTGTCAATTTCGAAACTGCATTTGACACTACGACTAGAAGCACTCACTATGCCGCTATGTCAGAATTTAATATCGCAGCAAAACTTATATGCTTATGTGAAATGACGTTGAGCATCGATCCCTTAGAATCGGGAAAAACCTCTCCACACTGCTTGATACCAAAAAAATTTCAAAGAGGGTGGCTCCTTGTCGTGTGACTACTTTAACCTAATATTGAAAACAATATTAAAAAAACCTATTCCAGTTCCAGCTCGAACCCTTAGTACTTCAATTACTTAACTAAATATTGCAAATGTATGTAAACCAATAAAAACTTAATAAAAATATTCACTCGGAACAAAACTAAATATCGAAAAAAACGTTATTTTAACCGAACTGGAACCAAAACCGAACCGATGTCTTGAACTGAAACGTAACTCATATAAAAAAACTTACGGTTCGAGTTCTTGTTATCTTAATTACTTAATTATATTTTGCATAGATATGTAATCAAAAAAGTAATATATAATAAAATTTGTTGTATATGACTAGAAACTTGTTTTTTATAGAAACTAAAAACATATATACTATCATTGAAGTTTACATCAAAATCCATTTAAAATTATAATTTAAATTGAATCTTACAAGTTTTACTTGGAAAAATAAAAGATGTCAGGTAAAGGTGAAAATGAGTCGACTGGTCAATTCTGGGGCCTACTGAAATTAATAAAGCCTTTTATTGTACCAGTATATGAATCTTCAGAATCACAACCAATTACCGCAGCTAACAAACTGAAGACCCCACAAGATAAAATGGAGAGTCAAGCTTCACTAATAGTGTCGATAAAGAGTAAGTAAACATTCATTTCCTTATAAAATACATGAAAACTATATTTAAATAATATATATCTTTTTATAGATGTATTCCGCAGAGTTTTTCATGTACTTTTATACGCACCATTTACACGTTTTTACGACCACGTTTATGATAGTGTTGGTATCTGGATGGATGATGATATACAGTTCATGTAGCATTAATGGGTAAGAATATACATTAGATAAATAAACTATATAATAATTTTTGGTTTGTCAATAAGTCTTCTATTCAGTTAAGTAAAACAAATTTTTCTTTAGAAATGCGGCTTTCTTCGTCAACACACTCTCCTTCAAAAATAATATAATCATTATAACGCTCCTTTAACTCTTCGATGACTTTTTCATAGACGATTGGACGTTGGTCTCAAAACAGGGCTTCAGTTTTTGTAATTTTCCTGTAAGAACCCTTCTTTTCTTCATCTTTCCACTTGATTTTAAATCAACAAGAAATTATGTAATTCCTTTTTAAATACAATCGTTTTTTTTATTTGATTGCCATAAATAATAAAAATCAAACACATTTGCTGATTATATTAACGCTTTTATTTAAATAACACATTGATTTCTAATGTACTTAATCTGGAAGATTAATCTATATACTATGCGGTAAAGATTGCAAAATTCGCAGTAATACCATGTTTCCACTTGTCTTATTTAGGTAGTTTTGTTCATTAAGACCGCTAATGAGGATAATTAACTATACAAAGTGATTTCATATAAATGAGCTCATTATAAATAAATCAACTCATTAAAATATATTTCCCAGTTTTGTATGTGAAATGTACACAAACAAGCCATTTGACATGCATAAATCAACTAATGCCAATAAAAACGACCAAATATCAAAAATTTCATTAAATAAGTAGTTTTAGCCTAACAAAACACAGTTCACAGATATCAAAACAGCCTATATCAACCTAAAGCAACATGTATAAACGAATATTAGAACTGACTCTATCGAAATATTATCTACACATTTGGAGCAAAACTCAACAGCAAATTGAATCATGAAATCTTCTCTGAAAGTCTGGAATTACGCTGGGCAGAGATTTTCACAATGAAAAGATCGATTTATCGATAACGCAGTATAATTTTTATTGACTATTTGAACCACTAAAAAGGAAAAACAATAATATCAGACTACTATTGCATATTATTGGATTGATTAAATAAGGAAATAAAAAAAAAACGACCTCATTTGTCGAAGAATAAAATTTTTTTTTGGAGAATAACCCAGCTCACACGTCAATAAAAATCATGACAAAATTGGTTGAATAATGATACGAACTACTTCTTCACCTGCTTTCTAATGTCTAATGTTGAGCCTTCTCCGAGTTAGTGCATCTGGGCACTTTTACTCTTTCATAGCTGGGGGGTTTCTGCAGAGTCCCACCCATCTCACTGACAAATTTGTATATTCCTCATTAGCATCGTGATTATTTAATGACTGATCTAAGATGTGCATATCGCCCCATCTGTTTTATGATAGGGCTTCAGGGAAAGAGATTTGCATCAAATGATTAAGTGGCATGAGAAACTGAGGCATATTTTGGAGGACTATCAAGTCCTATCATATTATATAAATGGTATCCAAATGTGGAATCGGTATGCCGAGCTTAAAGAGGACTATATTGAAGCATAAAATATAACTTTCCAAAAAAATACGCTTTTATTACTCTTAACATACCTAATATTTATATAGATAAATATTTTAGTTGTGAGTTTTTTGAATACGAATATTTTAATAGAAAATAATGAAATAAAAACCATTTTTATTATTAGAATGAAAACAAAATAATTGAAGTATATTGAGGATTAATGAATTTTGTAAAGAATTTAATTCAAAACGAGTAATAATATTTGAAAATAATCCATTGTAAAGTCAAGAACAACAGATAAGAATGCAAGTGCACTTCAAAATTTGAATTAATAAATTGATTTTTGTTTTGGAGAAACAGCAGCATTTGGCTTATGGTGCTTAGATAACAACAAGAGTTATTTCAATAGATAGAAATGAGACCAACCATTGCAGCAGTAATTTCACTGCAGAACAACGGTAACCACAGCAGATACAGCCAAACGGAATGACAAGCAACAATGAGCCAAGCATTTGCTTCTTGTTAACGAAGTTGTATCGTATAAAATTCTGAAGTTACTTAAAAATGTGGAACTGCTTAATTTTGTATTCTAAATGCAACCAAATTTCTAGATACATTTGAGTTAGAGCTGTGCACACACACAACACTGCACAGCACAGCACAGCACAGCACAGCACAACACAGCACAACACAACACAATGCTAGACAAAATGTTTTCAACAAAATTATACTTATCATAGCAGCTGGCATACTCCATCATCCTGGGCACCCTTACTTTTGGGAATTATTTTGTTGATTGGAACAATTTGACTTAAAATATTTTTTACAGGATAAAATGCACATATGCAAAGTGTATCTCAAAAAGAAAATGAAACTTTATTGTTAAAATCTGTACTCGTAAGATTGTATGTATTTCAATATTTCGTACTTAACTCTGAATGCATTTACGAGTGTACCTATGGATATGTGAATAAGCTAGAGGAGTATGGAACTAAGTTTAAAATTCACAAGTGATTTTCTCAAGTAGTAATCGCAACAGCTATGCCAAAACAATGTTTACAGTAGCAGTAAGTAAAAGTACAACATACAATCTTAAATATTGCATTAGGTTTTTAATCAATGTCAGTATATTATACACTAATGACCAAAAGTTTACCACCAGTCTAAGTTTATCGAAAATATTCGGATTTCAGAAAAACTAAACAACGTAAAAAACGTCTTTGATAACAGAGAAAAAGTTGGTAAATTTTTAAATATGTACATCATATTATTATCACAATAGCATTTATTTATATACTTTGGGCATTATAGAGTTATGGTTTACATATATATTTAATTATAATGAAAATTGCTTAAATGATAGATTTCTACAAAAAACCATTATCATTAAGGTTCATTTCATATCACCTTTCATATCACCTTCATAAACTGTCAGCAGTTTATGCAACCAACTGGTCCATGGTTCTCATGTAAGAACCCTATTCATATATAGGGACAACTTTAAGACCCTATATAGATAAGACTCTATATACTCTATATACATATATATATATATATATATATATATTATATGTCGTGCACAAAAGAAGTTGCTTAAAATAGTTAATCTTAATTAATTCGTTGTCTAATAGGCGTACCTGTTAAATCAAAATTGTGTCATGAGGATTAACTAAAAGCATAAACTTATATATTGTGGGTTCTGTCGAGTTTGAGTTGAATGGGTGAGCTTTAAAGTAATGATATTATAATTGGAATACCAAATATGTACATACATTGAACAAAGTATTTGGAATCATTTAATGAAAGAACATAAAAAAATTGTTGAAAAATTAAAATTTATTGACTTTAACCCACTTCGGACCACATGGACAGCTTTGAATATTTTTTAATATTCAAAGAATATTTTTTATATTTTAGGTAAAGGTAAAAGTGAGAGTAATCTCACTTAAACATTTCTCATTTACATTAACTCGTTTTATTTTACTATTTACTAAGGAAATTTCACAGTATAACTTCAAGTCTGAAATTGCGTGGTATTTAATGGGTTAAAGTAAGTGCCATTGAGTGCAATTCTGTTTATATCTGATTCTCCTTCTGTGAATTTTTTTTTTGGACACAACCAATCTTTCTCAAAGTGATCATTTTAGGCACAGAAAACAGTGACAACTGGCCATGTTAGGTTAGTAACTTGCTTAGTTGATCACATTTATTGAGTTCCATGAAAATATGGTAGTATTTATATATGCTTTTTACATTATGTATACATAACGAATGTATATACCATGCTGGTTTAAAATTGAGAACTTATTAAGCCTAACAAAATTTCTACGAATACTAAAACTGATCGAATCGGCAGTCATTCATTTCTATTGAGTACACTCATTGATTCGTAGTACTTGAGTATATGCTATGACTCATGAGTCATTAGCATCGGCACTCGTTAACGAAAAGACTTGTACGTCATTTCTATAGTGAATGTGAATGCATATAAGTAGTGTATGAGAAATACGCATTTATACTTGATTTTTATGAGTGTACTCTAAGTTAAAGTTACAATTATGACTCGTTGCGATTCTCTGCTATATGTACATGTATGTAATATATTAAGATCTTTCTTCAAATTACAAATACCAGCTACTTTCTACATTGATTGCATATCTATTCTAAATTAAAAACATTATTTATATGAATTAAAATAAAACAACAAAGGAATTTACTATCTGTTCTATTCAAAATGTTTATTATTTATAAAAATATGTGCTCATGTATGAGTTTTAGAATAAATCTTTTATCGAATTGAAACAACAATACCCATAATACGGTTTAGACAATTTTTACAGTATGAAAATATATTAGTACCTTCAACAAAAATTACAAATATTATTTATAACCTAAAGTCCATGACTTGCAGTGTAAATTCCAACCTAGGCAAGTTTTCATATCCTGTGTAGTCAATGGCTACACAGCAAAAATGTGATTTGCATTTGATTGCAGTAGAAAGAATTTCTGTCTGACGACATGAGTGACGTGTGAGACTTTACTTTTGCTATATAATTTTTCTAATTTTCTATATTGAACATGCTGTGATTTTGTTTCTTATCGGATAATAGTCTACTTATCTGCACACAAAACAAATTTCACAAAAGTCAATTATATCCTTTAGATGCACTTACACAATGTAAATGATAATTTAGGGATACTCCAAATCATTGGAATTTCAGACGAAAGATAAAACAGAGCAGCATTTCAAATTGCTAAAAAAATATTATATTCCTTTTATGTAATTTTATTAAAATTAAATTTTATATCTCATTTCATATATCATGAATATTTTTGCCATGAAGAAAAATGTTTATTTATTTTCGTAAGGATTCAGAATTATTCTTTTTTAGAATGTGTAAATACCTATTTGGCAATTTCTACTAAGAAATTTTAGACCACAATGTAAAATAATATAAAAATTTATCAATACTCAGTTATTAAAATAATTTAATTAAATTTAGTAGCTTTTTGGTTATTACTTTGTGGTGTCGGTTGAGTAATCGTTATAATATATGTTACTAAAAACTCTTGCAGACTTTTCTAGGTGTAAGTATGAACAGACCTTATTAGAAACATACAAAGCCATAACGCAATCAATCTTGAAACTACAAGTTTTACTCAGAACTGTCAATATTATTAAAAAATGATATGGCGACCATGTCATTTCTCTCTCATAAATTTTATTGTTCACCAGAGCAGCTCATGGAAGAAGTCAAAATTGTCCTTAATACTACTTTCACAAAGTCGTATGAAGACTTAAGGTTAACGCTTAAGACACATTAGTTGCATTATTTAGAAATGAAAGTATTTCTTTTTAAATCTTATTTCCAATATCGTATATACATTATATAGGTATATATATTATAGCACACTATTTTACTATATATGTTTTCTAAATAATACAACTGCTGTCTCTTAAGCCAACTAATAGCCATTCCAATTTGTGGTAATAGTATTAAGGATATTATTGTGATATTGTGATTGTGATATTAGCATTAACGGTATATATTCTCACAGTTACTTACATATAAAAACCAACATTTTGATAATGCTAATGGTTAATACAAGTAAAGATTCTCTTTGTTGATGTTTTAATGGATGAGTAATAGTACTGTTCTTTTTGCATCATTCAAGACAACATCAGAACAATCTCTCAATGACTTGCTACACATCGGACTAACTGTTCAAAGTAAAGTACCGTCGATTCTGTTACGATTCCGACTTCCTTGTTGTTAGATAATAGCACCATAGAATCCCAAGTTTGACAATGCAAATGGATAGGAAGAGTATAAGTAAAAGTATAGATTTTCACTGCTGATAATGCAAATAGTCAGAAAAAATATAGGTTTCTCTCCTTTATAACAAAAATAGTTAGCAAGAATATTGATTCTACTATTGATGATGCAGTGGAGAAGTGCTTGTACAAATTACTATTCTTGATGATGCAGTTAGATAGCAGAAATCTAGTCTCTCATTTCTTCTTCTTGATGATGAATATGGTCCACAATAGTACAGACTTTTAATTGTAATTAATAATGGTTTAGGGTTAACTTTATATTTATAACTAATTCGTTTTTAAAATGTGAAGTTTTATACAGCAGATATATAAACTCTTTCGTCTGATCAAATTGGAGATGTTGCATTATTATTAGGTATTGCTTTAATATTAAATTATGGCTCACGAAACTTTAAAATAGATTGCATTCACCGTAAATTTCTGTGGAATACCCAGGAATTCTTTTTTTTTAAACAAAAAAAAAAAAAAATTGCATGAATGATGATTTTTGTCCCCAGAAAAAAACCGTTAATATAATCAAAAACACTTGCTTGTAGGTGGCTTAAATATTATAGAAAAAAGGTTGTGGAAAATGATTGGAACGTGGTTAAGAGCTTTAAAATCATAAAGGAGAATATTTTGAAGAACCATAAATCGATTTTCAATACCAAGATAATGAGTTTTTTTTTGTATTAGGCTAGCAAGGCAAATTGTATTCATTTTATGCACAAATCTTTTTATTTTATTGAACACTTAAGTGTAACTTAAATGTTAGAATTTATACTCTTAATACTGTACCCCAAAACTTCAACATTTTTTGTTTTAGTATTTGTCAAAAAACAAAAATTAAAACTTCAATACAATAATTATTAATAAAAAAGTATTTCGAACAGTAGTAAACTACAACAACAAAATTTTTAATTATTTTTAATTAATTTTAATTTTGGTTGACCATACAGCTGTTTTGAGTATTGTCAAATACCCATAAACAGTGGTTTTGAAAATAATTCTTGTATTTAATTATTCGTAAATAATTTTTTTTGAAACTCAGAGTCCTGCAAGTACCAGGAACCGAACTCGTGTCAGCGCACCTTAACCAACTAATATTAAATATAAAATTGAAGTCCTTAAAAACTGAATTGCTGAACATTTTATCTGCAGAAAATTTAGAGAGCATTTAAACGCCTATGTTTTTTTTATTCAGTACTTAAGCATTTCCTTTCAAATCCCGTTTTCTCGTCTCAGCTGAAGATGTCATAAAATTTTAAAATTGTAATTTAAATAAAATTTGCAATAATCATAAATAATAAAAAAAAGCAACAACAACAAGAACATGAATGGAAGAAAAATATTAGAAAAAATTATGGCAACCACTTCTCATAAATATGAATCAAGTGAAATATGTGAAGTGATTTTGATTTTCGTGCAGAAGACACAAAAAGAGAAGAGAATCTCATTCATAAATGAAATTCAAAATGAACTAGAATTTTCTTTACCACATGCGGGGAACTGGCAGCAGACAGGACTTTGCTGAATGTCCTGAATGTCATGTTGTATGCAACACCACTCCAAGTGGCATAATTGTAACTGTCATGTTACACTTCAAATGCAACGACAAAAATTGAGATTTATGTGCATATTTGATATTTTCTTGCCAACACAAACTCACACATACACAATTTTTGTGCACTTCTACGCAATTTGTGACAACATTGTGAGTGCGGCGATGTGTACTTCTAACATCCACACATCCACACATCCAGACATCCACACATCGACGCTGCAAATGCAAAAACATTAGCAAAAGGAATTAATTTCAGTGAATTTATATGAGAGGAAACGGAAACGGAAATTGTAAGTGAAACCGAAAGTGCTATGTTGCAGCATTAAATTTATTTAATGTAGCTGAACAACTTCTCTCGCAATATGGTTGCTTATTGACTTATATTCTCTTTGCTGGAGTACATAAATAGAAAATTTTGAGTTAGATTGGAATAGGTACAATTACCAAAATTATTAGCCACTGTTACATCAATATTGTTTTTATAGATATGGATAAAACCATCACTAAGCTAACCATTTTATGAGACCAGCATGTAGAACGTATACACAGGCTATCATGTTAGAAAGATCTTGTTTGTAAACTATACCCTGACTTTACTATTATAATATTGTTTTTATTCATATGGGTTAAGGCAAACCATCGCTGAGCTGCGTAGTTTCAGATGGAGCACAGCATGCAAAATTTGACCTAAATATTGAGCAGCTATGTAGGCTTTTTGGAATATCTTACTCGGTTTCACCTATTGCGAACTGCTCAAACTGTTATAACATCACTGAAAGTGCAGAACGTTTGGATTTTCGTTATGACCGCTTAAAAGAGGAACGTAAACTATACGTGGAGGTTCTGCGGTACCTACCACCTCCTAACAGGGAGGGCGCTCTCTATAAGAACAGCTGCAGTGACACAACTGCAAGGATGAAAAAAGAAAACGCACCGGCTAAAAATGTGGTCAATTGACGAAATGACGATAAAAAACAAAAGCTTCGTGCTCTGGGTACCTCTTGATAAAATACCAATTCGGTGATCCCGAGAGGGAAAACCATCAGATATCAGGGTGATTTTAAAAGGTGTAAGTAGCACACTGGCTCGGGTTTTCGGTAAGTTTACACCTCGTTAAAAAAAAGTAAGCAGAACGTAAATGTAGTCTGTCATGTAAGAGGGATCTTGTTGCTGATGAATATAATAGATCATCGTAGCAAATTATGATAACATTAATTTTGTAAGCATTAGAAGTGTGACCTCTTTAATTATATATCATACCTAATATATCAATCTTTTCTAATAATTTTGCATAATTAATAATTTATTTTCTGAAAGACGAAGAATCAAAGACGGTTTGCAAGATAAATCACGTTAATTTTATTGAAATAATAATCAAAATGGCAACTTCTGTTGTCTCCTACAAAAAATATACAGAGGTTTTGATCGTAAGATGTATTCAAAATAATTCTGAAGGATAAGAAAAGTTTTTGTTATTGTGTTTATTATTTAATAATTTTTTAACAATTTAGTTTATTCTTAATAAGAAGTTATTTTTAAAACGAAGTGGTCATTACCAAAACAGGAAGAACGATTTTGCTTCTAAATATGAATAAATAAATTCTGTTGTTGACTCTTAATATTAAAAAATATGTTATATGTGTTATTGTATATATAACAATAAGAATTTTAACATTAGTTTTCTATGTCACTATCTGATGATTCTGATTGATTATTATCATTCGAAGTCATAGAGTCCGATGTGTTCAAACCATTAAACAGTCCAGATAAAGCATCTAGCGAACTATTGATGTCACCACTGTTAGAGAGCATAGTTCCTGAAGTAGGTGTGACCCCGAGCAAGCCCATAGTGCTGATGAGACTATCCAAGGCAATCATTTCGTCATTGGTTGAACTGTCTCTATTATTGGTGCCATGAGAAGTTTCAAAGTGAGATGTGGTGATATTATTGATATTGCTAGTAGTATTATCGGTAGTGTTGTGAGGGCTTGAAAAAATAGTAGAACACTGTGAACCACTCGCATCAGTATTTTCTGAAGAATTCTGTGCACTCTCTGACTCAGAGGTAGAAATGTTGACTACGGTATTAATGTTACCTGCGCTACTTGATGCGGTGTCAATATTTTCTAGTGAATTCCGTGAATTCTCTGATTCATAGCTAGAAATGTGGATTGCAGTATTAGTATTACCTGCGCTACTTGATGCAGTGTTATCGGTACTATCGGTGTTATCGGTGGAGGGTGTACTATACACCGTTGTACTGCTGCTAGTACCACTGCCTAACAGCTCTCTCGGAACAATTGAGTGACGAAATTGATGATTCTTATTATGTTCTTTTGGTTTTTCATCAGTGTTTGTGATAAACTTGACGAAAAATTGAGGATCTAACAGCCTCTCATCAAATTCTGTCTCTGCGAACCAATCAATAGGCGAATCGCACATATCATCATCATCATCATCGTATTCACCGTCAGAACCAAGACTGTCATTCACAGCACTACGTGCCTCAGGGCGATTACGACGACTCTAAAAAATTGAGTGTTAATGTTTCAACTAAAACTACAATTCATATGTCTGATATGATACATTATATTTGTCATATAGTGACAGACAATGAATTAATAATATTTTTGTAAGGATATTCTACTTACTCTATCGCGCCTATTACGATTAGACGCCATTTCTGCTGTCTCGATAAGAACCAATATTTTCTGTAATAATCTTTTATGAAATGAATAAAATAATTTTTACACTTCAATCAAAAAGTTTAGTATACTTCATGCTTACTTAGATTTTTCTGATTAAAAAAATCTATGAAACATAGAATAAAGTTACATTACCTCAACTATAAAGTAGGTATTAAATAATACTTTTTTCACTCCAGTTTAAACAATGGTTAAACCAATGGTTTCATTTATTCGATGACTAGTGAGATCTATTAAATATTTTGTCCTGGTTAGTTAATCAGGACTAGTGTTTAACTAAAATCTTGTCGTTATCGTTGTTTTGCTTTATTTGATAATTAGAATTTACAGAGCGACAAAATTAAATTTTGGAGATTTTGATTAAACAATCAATGGATTTTATTATATATAACTAAATGTAATAATAATAAATAATTAACCATCTTCTTCTAATGCTGTACGTTTATTGAAACACAAAATCTGAAGTAATTATTTAGTTTTAAAATTTTGAAACATTAAAAAATTTTCAAAATTTCTTAAAATCCTCAGTTTACTGAGAAAAATCGTTCGGTTGATAAATTGCAGTCTAGTTAACCTAACCAGAGACTCTCCGGTTGAAATTTTTATAAGCGAAAGTATCTCTCTCTGCTTAAGAGATAGAAATCTTTGTTCTAATTAATGAGTTTAGGACTACCTGCCATGGACCGAAGTTCTTTTTATGTGGAGACACATATATAGTACTAATAATTTGTGTAGAAGACCTCACGAATAAATTGAAATCGAATTAGAAGCATTTTTGAAAAATATTTCTTTACGGAATCCATTCTCTTTTGATCGGTTTGTTATTAATATAAAGTTTTGTAGTAACTCATAAATAGTAAGGTCTGTTATAGTAACTTCACGAGCGTCGATATTTGACCATATCTGTTTTAATAAGGATATCGTATTACAATATCCATATGAACGATGGATTCTTTATAAGGTCAACAATAACAAATCATCTAGCAAACAGATCTCAAATGTCAGGATTTCTGTCTGCTTCGTCTATCTGTCGTTGCTAATAGGTGATCCTACTTCAGACACATATTTTTAAAAAGTTTTTCTTATTTAAGTGTCTAGTTTGTTTAACTAATGCTCTATTACTTGCTAATAGTAGTTAAAAAGGTATTAAAACAATCGAAAAGTCGATACTAAGGTCTTATGTGAGTTTGAGTAAATTGATGGTAAATTGAGGAAAATAGTAAATTGTGTCGGTATGTCAGCGAATGTTGCTATTTACCAGAAATGGTAAATTAGATAAAAATTAGGTAAATTAGGTATTACTTTTAACTAAAAATAATAAATAAGTGCAGTGCAAAAAACTCCTAGGAAATTTTAATTAACTTTACCTCAATTTACTCGAACTCGCACACGGTCTAATTAGTGTCAGTACTATAGCACGTAATTAAGGTAAAATTCGAATTAAAAAATTTGGAATAATTGCGATGCATTGCATTCGTTATTCTATTATTTACATTTGCGTGTGAGTTGAATGTGTATATATAACTGTCCCTGACTAAACGATTGGTTTACTTAGATGCAACAATCCGAAACTCATTTCCTAATAAATTTATTTTATTTTTGTTAGCTTTTGTTTCGAAATTAAATTAAAACTTCATTACGCATAAATCACATGAGTCACGTCTCACTCGTGAAGTCATAAACACGCTCAGGCGATACTTAAAATTGCGTTTACTATGTCTTAGTGTGCGGTAGTAAAAAATTCACTTAAAAAACCTTATAATTTCCAAAAGTTTTCACAAAGTCTAATCCTCTGTGCAACAGAGTAACAAAAAAAATGTTGTAAAACAATTTTTACGCACCGGAAGAAGTAAATTAATGGCGCTTAAGTTCCACCATACAACGTACAAGGAAATACATGTGGAGTGTGTGGAGCGTATGGAGTCTACATGTACCGCTTAAGAGTGTGTTGGATAACGTATTCGGTGCAGGGGACACCATTCGTTACTGACACAATTACAAAACGTTCATGACACACAGCCGATTAAAACTTTCGACAATATGTCATGTGAGTGATGTGTCAAATAAATACTAAGAGACCTATGGACATGCTTTTCCCTTTCCACAGCCATACGAACTAGAAACTGAAGGCATAGGTTTACACCACTAATCATGATAAATGTAGCGCAATTTCACAATTTTTTATGTTTAAATATTTTTGAGTGTATTGCCTTTTACATGTGTGCATGTGCATGTGCCGAGTGTGTGTGTGTGTATGTGTCTGTGTGGCGGTCTTGAAGTTTTTCATTTTAAACGATTCAGGCGTTGAAATGTCTAAAATGTCGGCTTAGCATCCGCAAAAGCATATTTTAAAGCGAAATATGCTCCAAGTAGAGCATCGCATTTTGACAAGGATTCATCTTGCTTTGAACGGTGAATGGTTAGAGTTGATGCCGTGGACGTGAAAGTGAATGCATATAAAAACATGCCAACAGAAATAGGTGTGCTTAGAGATGATGACAGCCAGCATTTTTAGTTTCTTAGATGTTTGAGACTACAACAAAGTTGTCACGACAAAACAATAGTCCTTCACTTCTACACTTTTTTGGCTCTCCCATTACTCCCATTAGTTTTTAAGCAACAATTTACCCGAAAGAAACAAATTTTAACGTAAGCAGTACACTGTAAAAAATTATATCCTCCGTTAGTAAAGAAGCTAAAATTTCATTCAAATTTAATTTTTTACTAATTCAAAATTCTACTATAAATGATTTAATATATTAATTAAATATATTAATTAAATATATAATGTTTTATGTATTATATTACTGACTGTAATTTTCTTAAACAAACAGAAGTTCTCTCAGAACGTTCAAAAAACTTTCCGACACATAAGAGCTCTTTCACATGCAATAAGTAACTTATGTCAACGGAAACGAAAAATCTTAAACTTACTTAAATAACTCACTAAGTACTCGTAAGTAGTGGAAACATGTTATAAAATTAGGCCGTGTGAAATAGATTATTTGTTTACATTTTACATATAAAACATATGAGAAATAATTGAAATTATGATCTGTTATGGCAAATTTATTTTTCAAGGTTGCATTCAGCATTTTCCGCTTTAAATGAGTTGATTTATTTACAATAAGCTCATTTATATAAAAGTTCTTTGTATGATAAATAAACAATATTAGCGATTTTAATGAGCAAAACTATTTAAATGAGGCTAGTGAACATGTAATGATATTTAGTTGACTACGCAGTTTTTTGCTTCACTTAATATATCTTCATATAATTGATCTATGACTGATCATATTTATATTTGGTGGACTAAAACATTAGCTATTTGTGACACTGTAATCATTAATAAACTATTGTCTCCCATAATATAAGTCACTGTGACTACATTTTTTATCAAAAAGTAATATATGTAATTATAAATTATTTAGGGATGTAATACTAATATTTGTAAAATATTAAAAAGATATATTCATATGTAGAACCATAATTACAAACAAAAAATATTTAATATAAATAAAGAACCTGAATAAATATAAATTTAATATCTATTCTATCCTTACAGAAAGAAAAAACTCTAACTTAGACTCCTTTCTATATTAATTAAGTATAATTTGTTAACTAATGAGAATGTTAAATATAAACTTTTGAGATCACGGAAACCGTCGTGTTAGAGTGGTACCTTTAGAGAACATCCATTGCAGTGCTGACAATTCCAGTAGTGGTCGAAGTGGATGGGGTAATTGTGAGATAAAATTATTGCAATATTCTCGGATAGCCAAGGCGCTACAATATATCTAGTAATCACTTTAGGTTCATCCTATACAGTATGAGTACGTCAGGCTTCCTTCAATTACTTAGCTCGGACTGGCAGTTCTGTATAGACTCATATGAATGCGCAGGAATACAAGCTCATTTGTTCATTTGCTCTTCCTGATATTGACGTTCCGCTCACAACTACTAAGTTGGCTATCATACAAAAATACCTAGCGACAGCTAAAAAAGCTTGTGTAGGTTGAGATTTTTGTTAGAAAATGAAATTACTTTGCTTTAAAGAATACGGTTCCAGCTTAGCAATACGAGTGCTAAGCGATATCCTCCGGTATCGAAGGAATTATATTTAATTTTACGTGTCAGTGTGCGTCTTTGGTCAGTAGAGTATATAATATCCTTGAAGCTCATTTTTTCACCGAGTGTCAGAGCTCAGCCTTCAAAATCATTTACATAAACTTTTGTTATGGCTACGGATCTGTAGAAAAGTAGGAGACCACATTTCATTTAATACATCAGTGCTCGTCTTTGGTCACTTGCATTTGAAATATGTTCGAGACCCATTCTCTCACTGACTGGACAGAGCTTATCCCTCAAATCATACTCAAGTATATTTAGTTATAAGGTTTACTCAGTTTTACTTAAATGTGGGAATCGTGTCTATTCTCTTCGATGTTGTCTATGCATCAACCGCTTTGGTGTTCATTACCTGGTGTATAAGCAATATTTTTATTTGTAGTATTAAACTGTCCATTATTTGTAATTAAGTGTAAGATCATCACTCTAATCCAACCAACCTAACCGAAACCGGTATGGGCAGCAGTCATACTGAAAGGAACACATTTTAATGGCAATGGTGTTTTCTTGATTCTTTCATTATTGAATATGTTTAAATTATTTCAATTAATGTATTTTACATTGTTTCATACTTATTCTAAAAGTTTTATAAAACGTTTCAGCTTCCAATCAAAAATTATTTATATTCCAACTATCACAAAAATTTTCTTACGGTGTAATAATCTTGTATATCCTTCCAAGTCATTTCATATACCTTTTCAAGGAAATTGCCATCAGTTATGTTTTTACGTAAACAATAACTTGAACATAAATTGTCCTTAAATGCTTGTTAAAAAAAAAGGTGATATCTGTCAAAATATGTCATTGGCCTTTATTTTGATAAAGAAATAATCATGGGAAGGTAAAATATGTTCATAAAAAAATTTCAAGTCAGTAATTAATTTTGACAAATTTAGTTAACGGAAAACACATGAAAATATTTGAATCAACGAGAAAAAAAATTTATAGGAATATATTATATTTGATAATCCCACTTTTGAAAATCTTACGAGTAAACCTGTGAATAATATTTTTATTGGCTATGTAAGTGAGATCGCATTACTATACTTACTTAGTTACTTGAGGAATTAAGACATGATTTAATTTGACATTTACTATTCTTCACAGTACAGTGTAAAATGGAGAACTAGTTTTTGGCGATTTGATGATCATGTACCACCTGACCATCATATAAGTTTCAGCTCTCTATAAGTTTCAATGTTTCTGTTGGTACTGT